AAGGGCATCTTGCTCTTGTTCACGGTTAGGTCTCTCCAGTATTCTTAGAATAAATATCATCAGAGAAAATTGGTGCGCCATATTTGCCTCTTCATTTTAAGGTGTTTGGCAAAGTATCCTGGTAGATGGCACGGGCAGCAAAGTGAAGCCATTATTTTTGGACATCGAAAGCCAAGGTTGAAAAATACCTGAGGCTACTGTTGGTCCTGTGGCCTCTTTGGAAGCTGGAAGGAAGCAACTGTCTTAGGCTCTCCACCAGCCATGCCCCAGAGGTCTGTTTGTCTCGAAGGGACTAATTATAAGTCACCTCAGCACTGATTTGACCGTGGAACTCTCTGTACCATCAACAAACGGAGGACTAAATATTCCTAGTCTCCAACGGGTTCGTGCGGGGCTAAAACACCCTCCAGGCCTTGTTATTTGGGCAATGGAAAGATGAGATGCTGTGTGTGTGTGTGTGTGTGTGTGTGTGTGTGTGTGTGTAACATTAGTGATGGATAAAGAGTTGGTTTTTAATCAAGCACTGTGTACTTTCTGCCCCAGAATGAATCAGCTGTGGCGCTCTTCGACGTGTTGATGAATTTTGGCATTTATCCCTGTTTGGAGAGAAGCTAAGGCTCTGCCTGAATTGGATCTTTGTCTTCCTCAAGCAGTACTTTAGGACCCATTCACTGAACTGCATTTATTTTTGAGAGTTTCAGGTGATATGAGAATTTTTTTTCATTTTTTTTTTTAAAACATAGCTACTTCTCTCTTTCTTTTTAAAACCCTCTTTCAGGATATAAAGCAAGTTTTTTTTTTTTTTATTTGTTTGTTTTCATTTTAAACTGGTACCTATCAGGTGGTAATTCGCCAGTTAGTCTAAGGTAATAAGAAACTCGAATTTGGATTTGATTCAGTTCCATTAGGGCAGATTTAAATGTTTGTGATACAGGGGCTATTATCCTGGAGGTTGTAAAGGATTTTTGTGCTGGGCAGCGAGGCTGACAAAGAGCACACTGTGCACACTCCATCTTGAGTGGAGCACTTTCACACTGCAATTTAGGAGCTGTGCAGTTCAGGAAATTGCTGGCTTTGGCTGGACCATACTTCTACTGCAAGGAAAATTTTACTCGTCACTCAAGTAATTGGCAGTTTTAATACCTTGTTCATAATTACCTTATAAACAAACGAATATATAAACCAAAGATTCTATGGCTTGTTCTCTAACGTGTAGCCTTATTTGACCAATATGATAGACACCTGGTGGGCCTCCTCCCTCTCCTTACCTCAAAAAAACTAATGTGCTCCATTTATTAGGAAAAAAAACCTAATAATAACAAAACCAAACACTACGCTATTGTTTTCTTTTTGTTGTTGCAAAATAATGTTTAAGTTTGCTAGCCCCAGACAGCCTGGCCCAAACCACGTGCAAACTTGGATGTGAGACAGACAAGGGTGGGTCTGGGCGTTTCAGCCGCTGGGTGGCTGGAAAGAGGACAGCCTCGTGATAGAAACATTGAGCTATGTATTTAAGAGAAAATTTCTGTCCCCTAAATTGTGGTTTTGTTCATCCCTTACACCCTGGCCCTAAGGCCTCTTGGCTTGGCTTGGCCTGCCTGCCTCCATCTCCGGGACCTAGAGATTGACTAATTGTCTCACTCGTTACCTCACAGCTAGATCAAGGAGTTTGTGCTCCGGTAAATCCAGATGTGGGACATGGTCAGAATCAGAGGTCATGGATGACTTGACTCTAAACAAAGTCTGTAAGGGCTTTATGGGAATCCAAGGAACTTGGTAATCTGTGACTTGTATGTGGAACTGCTGTTTGTTTTTGTTTTCTTTTGAACTTTACTATTACCTCAGCTTGTTACTTTGTTACCCTGTGTAGGATTTTTTTTTTTTTTTTTTGTGGAGTTACATTCTCTGATGATTTGAGTCTTAAAGATCAAACAGACGATAACCCTAAAATCCTTAAAGGGAATAGACTAAGGATTTTCACTGCAGTGTGAGAGGCTTTAGAGTGTTGTTTAGAGCCTGGGTCTCTGGAGTTTTCTCCTTACTGTCCTGGAGAAAGCAGCATCTGGCCTTTGCAGTCTCAGGAAGTCAACCTTCTTCTAACTGTAGTGGGTACAGAGCACACAGATCCCTAGAGGTCTGTCTCCTCCAGGAGAAAAGTGCAGATTGCAAGGGAACCTTCTTTATCCTTCTGATGATGGATCAGTGAGCCAGTTGGATTTCTACATCAGTTTGAAAACAGAATTTGAACTTTCTGTTGTTGGTCACGGTAAGAAGTAGCAGATCCTTCTGAAGGAATGTGTACAGTGAGAAATGCCAGATTAACTGCCAGAATACCACTGATGCTTTGTGTTCTGTAAAAGAAACCTGGGATCCACTGGGAGCAACCCAGACTTGCTATGTCAGGTAGCGCAGAAGTGGTTGGACTGGTTATGCAAAAAGCCCCAGTTTCCCAACTTTAGATTATATTTGTAAGAGAGAAATTACTTTACGAGTGGATGGTGTAATCTGTGAACCGTGTTTAACATAGGTCTTGACACCTAATGTGTGCACCATTGTAGTTCTCGAAACCTAATGTGTGCCCCATTATTTCTGATTTCACCGTATTCCGTCTCAGTGGCATGAACACGAATTCCTGCCTCCAAGGAGTTGGCAATATGGAAGAGAGTGGTAGTGTGCATGTTATAGTAAGGTTCACTATAAGATTTGGGAACCCGTAAAAGGGGTCTACCCAACCTCTGAGATGGAGAGACGTGTCTGAGTTACTGGTACGCAACATATGTACATGGTGGCTATTTTCTGACTAAGGATCAGATCCTGTGGCTTTTCTTTAGGGTATAAAGAGAAACCCTTGTTACAGTTGTTCCCAGCTTTTTAACGTTAACATGGTTTCTTCTGCTAAGCAATGGTCTAAAAAGGTGCTACCACCCAACAGCTGACTGAAACAGATGCAGAGACCCACGGCCAAACATTGAACAAAGCTTGGGGGCTCTTGTGGAAGAATTGGGGGAGGGATTGAGGGCCCTGAAGGGGATAGGGACCCCATAGAAAGACCAACAGAGTCAACTAACCTGGACCCTTGGGGTCCTCCAGAGACTGAACCACCAACCAAATAGCATACACTAGCTGGACCCAGGCCTCCCGGCACGTATGTAGCAAATGTGCAGTGTGGTCTGTTGTGGGTTCCCCAACAAATGGAGCAGGGGCTGTCCCTAGAGCTGTGGCCTGTCTGTGGATCCTGTTCCCCCAACTTATCTGACTTCACTGGCCTCAGTGGGAGATGATGTACCTACTCCTGCAGTGACTTGGTGTGATGAAGAAGAGGAGGATACCCGGTAAGGACCTCTACCCTCTCAGCAGAGAGGGGTAAGGGGGTGAGGGAGTAAGGGGGTATGGAGCATGGGAGGGGGGACCCAGAGGAGGAGGGCAGCAATAGGGATGTAAAGTGAATACATTAATTAATGGGGAAAAAAAGTCCATGCTACCTGAACTCATGAGACAGTTGGGCTGGTTTGCATGTTCAGATCGCTCCTGCTTTCAAATAAGATTGTCACTTACTGCTAATTAGTATAGTGCTAAGTAGTAACAGTACTGAATAGCTCTGGTACCCATGCCCATTTGTAGGAATTTAGCTGGGCATTTTCCCCATTTGAGATGCAGCAGAAAAATGGTGGGAATGTTGTCTCATTTAATGTCGTCAGGCACATTGGCTATTGCTCTCTTGAAATATAGATGTGATAATAAAGGGATACCTTTGTTGTTGTTGTTGTTGTTGTTGTTAGAGGCATAGTCTTCTTGGCTGACTCAGAGCATCTGCCATTGCATCTTGAGTGGTGGCATTAGAAGTGTGTGCCTTCGTGTTCATTGACATGTACTCTGTGTGCGTGTGTGCGTGTGCATGTGCATTTAAAAAACTATATGTAGCCAGTGACTACCCTTGTGGTCTACTTTGATCTATTGTTGAGACTAGTAATACCAAGAATGTCTTAATCTATCTGTCTTTAGGGACTGTTTCGGTGGTCACTCTTCTGGGATACCTTTGTAACACAGAAGGCCCAGTTGTTTTTTCTCTGGTATTGAAGCCTCTGGAAACTTAGTAACTTGTTATAAAAACAGAGACTCTTTCTAGCCAGGATCCAAAGCAGCCACAGAGTGGTAAGGGCTGGGAGCTGATTGGTACTGTGGTGTGAGAGTACCATCTTAAAAAACAAAGAATCAGACTAGGAAGCAAGAAGAAACAGGGTTGGCTAGATGGTTCGGAAGGTGAATGTGCCTACCTACTGTGCAAGCCGGCCCAGCTGACCGGGATCCCCAGAGCCCATGGAAACACAGAAATAGAAGTAAAACAAACAAACAAACAAACAAACAAACTTGACTCCGTTAAGCTCTCTTCTGATCTCCACATGTGTAGCTCTGTCCCACTAATAGGAATAACTACACTAAGTTAAAATATATGAGTGTACATACATATGTTTTAAATACTCATTGTATTATATAATATATATGATATATTTTATATTTATAATATAAATATATATGTATATATAAGTATTATATACAAAAATATGTTTAAATATTATATATACATATAGAAAGAATGGGGAACAAGACTATAATAAATAATTATATGTATATACATATTATGGAATGAGGGAGTGTAGCCTGGTGTGCCTACTCTGTGCTAGATGTTTCATTTACAATCTAATAAAACAGGAAGACACGGAAAAATAATTTGAAGAAAAAAAAAGATCCATCAGTTGTGTTTAAAAGCATGACAACTATACATGCTTACTATCCTCTCAGACTGTTGTAAGAACTTTCTTCATATTCTCTAGTATGATCTCAGAGGATACATGGCCATGAGGTTGCTGTTTATCATTGAAAAGTACGGTTTAGACCAATGAGGTTTTCACACTTCTGAAGAACAGGTCAGGAATAGGTGTTTTTCTTCTCCCTTTGGATTGTACTGTTGACCTGTTGCTGGGACTGTGTTTTAATTACAGGGCTGGGAACACCATCGACAAAATCCTCCCTGAACAGCTGGAAGCCTTTCAGTCCCTTGAGACTTTGGACCTGAGCAACAACAATATTTCAGAACTTAGAACTGCATTTCCACCCTTACAACTCAAGTATCTGTAAGTGTAAATTACCCCACAGTGAGAATATTGTTATAACAGTGTGTGTGGGGGGGCATAGTTAAGATGCAACAAACCCAATTTGTTGATTGGAATGTAACTTTCTTATTGACTTGAATAGGTTGTATAGGTTCAGTCTTCATTCTTACAATTTTGTACCACAATTTTTAAAAAATGCGCCAAACTAGGGTATGAATAACAAATTCTACACAAAGTATATATATGTAACAAATATTTGTCACCTTCAAAGATCTGTCAGTCTTTGCTGTCAGTTACTTTTCTTGCTGCTGCCTTTACCCAATTCCTGACAAGAACCCATTTGAGGCAGGGAAGGCTTATTCTGATGGACAGTTCGAGGGCACAGTCTTATCATGGCAGGGAGGGCATGCTGGGAGAAGTGGCAGACAGCCCTGTCACTTTGTGGTCAGGAAGTCAGGCCAGATTATAGAGCCCCAAGTCCCGCCCTCTGTGGTCTACTTCCTCTAGCTAGGCCCTGCCTCCCAAAGGTTCTTCAACCTTCTAACAGGGTGCCACCTGCTGGACAATAAGTGTTAGAACTCATGAGCCTACACAGGCCATTTCATATTAAAACTACAGTGTATGAATCTTTCTATTTTTCATTTTTTAACTATTTTTCTGGTACTGGATAGGGAACCCAGGGATTCTTCACACACAGAGAGTGGTGATCACTCTGCCAGTGAGCTGTATCCCAGCCAATATGTGTAAACCTTAATTTGTTCATGGAGAACTCAGTATTAACCATTTCAAGGATGCACTCATGGTCAGGTTCTCTGGGGAGTCTCTGCAATGGGGAGATTGAAAGCACTTTAACTTCCCAGAGAAGCCTGAACAAGCCTCTGCTGGCCTTCCAACTCTCAACAGGTATATCAATAGCAACCGAGTAACGTCCATGGAACCAGGTTATTTTGACAATTTGGCGAGCACACTTCTGGTGCTGAAACTTAACAGGAACCGGATTTCAGCCATCCCGCCCAAGATGTTTAAATTGCCTCAGCTGCAGCACCTGTAAGTGAACATGGCCTCTTGGATATCACGCTCTCACGTCTCAACCTCTGGGGTCTGTGTCTGATGCTCACAGTGGGAGAGGAGAAATGTAGAGGCAGGCAGGTGACTGCCCTCTCTCTCATGGCTTAAGTGGTGGAATCTCCTGATTGGGAAAAGACTTGCCAATTACCTCATGGCAGCTGCTGCCTGACAGGACATGCTAGACAGTAGCTGAAGGAGCAGGGTGATCACTAGGTTGCCCCTTCACAAAGGTGCCATTGTGGACCTGGGGAAACCACAGTGTCTCTCAATGGCTGTGGTTTATGAGAATAATACCAACAACTCCAGGATGCTTTGAGCCTAAGTGGCAGTAAAGAACTGTCTCGTTAAAAACGGTGGGATGGTTTGTGAACAAGGCTCCCGAAACGGCTCTTTTCAACCTTGACTGCACATTACAGAGACTTGGAGCTTTTCAAAACCCCAGAGCCCAGGCTGCACCCTACACCAATTATACTAAAACCTCTGGGGGTTGCAATTCAGGCTTCAAGAACTTTTAAAGCTCCCTAGGTGGTTCTAGTGTTCAGCAGGAATAGAGAGTGTTGCAGCCTGCAGGAAAGTACCAGACTGAACGTTAATTGGGAATGGTGGTGTAGGTTTGCATACACACAGAGCAGGATTTCTGTGCCACTCCAGGGTAGCCCTCCTGCTTTCCTGGGGTGCTTATCACTCTCGTTCTGCATCAACGAAGGATGAATATCAATTTGTTGACTGCTATCCCGAGTGGGCAACAGTTTAGAAATGAAAAATCTAATGCATTTCCTGTATTATTCCAAAAAAAAAATCATGTGTTTTACATAGACATTCACTCCCCGTAATAAATTGGAGGGGGAAAAAAATGAAATCCCTGTCAATAAAATGTCTGGGAAATTGAAAACATTCTTGCAGTTTTAGCACTGACTGGGTTAAATGTATTGCAGTGTAGGACCCGTTTTATTACCTGTAGAATTTAATTGTCACATGAATTAATGGCTTGATTGTAATGTCCAACACAGAGAGCTGAACAGAAACAAGATTAAGAACGTGGACGGTCTCACCTTCCAAGGGCTTGGTGCACTGAAGTCTCTGAAAATGCAACGAAACGGACTGACTAAGCTGAGGGATGGTGCCTTTTGGGGTCTGAGCAACATGGAGATCCTGTAAGTGTGGGTTATCGCAGTTCCCACTCAGATACACTGACCCCCCAGTACTCAGTGGACAAGTGGTGGCTCTCCTTTGAAACGCCTCAAGAAGTCCTCATACTGTATTATCCTAGTTACAGTTATCTAGTTATGTTTCAGGTGAACTGCATGAATCTTGCTGGTCTCCTTTTATATGTACCAAAGCCAAGTATCTAGGCGCGTTAGGGATATTGTCGTAAGTTGCATGCAGCCAGACATGCTTGTCTTTGAAGAGAGTAGATCGTGAACGCTGTATCCCACCTTTGCGTCTCATTGCACGTGCAGGCAGCTGGACCATAACAACCTAACCGAGATCACCAAAGGCTGGCTCTATGGCTTATTGATGCTGCGGGAACTTCATCTGAGCCAGAATGCCATCAGCAGGATCAGCCCGGATGCCTGGGAGTTCTGCCAGAAACTCAGTGAGCTGTAAGTTGCCTTTTATTCTCCTCAGGTTCGAGAGCAGGGATCCTGCTGGAGCAGGAGTTTCTTACCACTGATCTGTGAAATTTTCTTAACAAAGTTGCCAAGGCGACAGCAGCTTTCCTATGTGCCCTTGATGCTGTATTTTTGGTTGTGATACATTGAAGCCAACGCCGTTCTTTGCAGTTCTGTGTGGAGCTGACAAAAGTAGTCACTGTTTCATGGACTATTTATTTAATTTTAATTACTGGGATTAGAAGTAATGTTTACCTGGATACTGTAAGGCAAAATGTTAAAACAAGATTATTATAGGTACATTTATTACCCGTCTTTTAGAAAACAGATTATTATGTTGAATGGAAAGATTAAAGCTTTGTTGTTGTTGTTGTTGTTGTTGTTGTTGTTGTTCTTTGCAGAGACCTGACTTTCAACCACTTATCGAGGCTAGATGATTCCAGCTTCGTTGGCCTAAGCCTACTAAATGCCCTCCACATTGGGAATAACAAAGTCAGCTACATTGCTGATTGTGCCTTCCGGGGGCTTTCCAGTTTAAAGACTTTGTAAGTTACACATTTTGCTCTTGGTACCCGAGCCTAATTGGCTCCTAACTGTGCCCACTTTTCTCCCAGCAGATTTCCTTTGGTGCTGAGGAAATGTATACAGCCTCAAAAGTGGGCTCTTAATCTTTCCCAGAGCAGTCTGATTAGAATAGAAGCATTTCATCCATATGTGTTTCTTACAGGGATTTTAGAAGGACGCTGATCAGCCTGCCCGGTGATTGCAGCTTCCCTCCGTCATAGCATCGCTAGGAAGTTCAGAACTGCTAGAGAAAAAAAAATAATTTTTAAAGTCCACTAATTTTTTCTTTATAAAATATAGATTACAAATAAGCCAGAACAAAAAGGAAGGGCCTTAAGGGAGCTGAGTGTTTATTCTTCTAGTTTTCACCCCCTGATTTCTGTCCTAAGAAAGAAAAGTATTGAATTAACTGACCTTTTGTAAAATCTCTCCAATGTTAATTTAGTGCTGTGCCATGGGCTTTGGGATTCTGCACTTAGAAACCTGTGCTCTGTTCCATCTGAACTATTACACAGTGGGAAGACATGCCACATGCTTTGGCTCTTGTCTGTCTTTGGGTTGGGAACTTGGTTTTAAAATTTAATGTATTTTTCAAGTTGTTCAAGACTTGAGAGTCCAGCCATCTTTGTAGAAGTCTTAACAGGGCCAGGGTTACTGTCTCAGTTTGGGAGAAAGTTTTAATAAATGTTGAGTGTAGGTTTCAGGATGCAAAGAGGCTCCTTGGAGTACTGAGTTTCTTCTTCTGAAGTGGGTGAAGGTGGGGGATTAGGAGGACTTTGTTACAAATGGCATCCCACCTGGGTAGCATCTGAAGTTTCTGAAAAGTGTCTCTAAAGAGAATACTTTGTTTTCTGTAGGGATCTGAGGAACAATGAAATTTCATGGACCATTGAAGACATGAATGGAGCATTCTCTGGCCTGGACAAATTGAGGCAACTGTGAGTATAATTTGCATCCTCTATGACTTAAAATTGCTGTCTTAATTGAAGTCAGATCCATCCATCAGGTAACATCCTAGGGTCAGTAGTAGGTATGGCATGTGCCTGTGCCCTTGATCCTTCTCCCAAGCGAGTGGTTTTGTTCATGGCGTGTGAATATTAATTAGCTTTTCTTCCTTCTTTGGATGAAAGAAGAAAATTCAATCCTGGGACTTGTATAGCTACTCATTTTGAGATCCCGATAAGCATTTGGAAATTATGTTGACTGTGATGCATTAGGAATGGTCACTGTGTAAGAACGAGCGTCTTTATGACAGCATTTAGAAAGGCTTCACGTTACTCTATAGTTTCGGAGTTCTCAAACGAGTCCACTGTCCATCAATCACGCTTCGTCAGGGACCAGAAGGGATGCAAACACTTTGTGTTTCACAGTGAGATGGGGTTGTAGACTGTTCTGCTTTCACTTGATGGTGAAGAGCATTTACAGAGAAGAGGTGGGAGCAAGCTGCAACCGGGCAGTGTGATCCCCAGAGAAACTTCCATAGTACCTGTGTTTGCTGAGTGTACCAATGACTCGTCTATTGCTGTGATAAAATCTGACCAGAAGCAACTTAAGAGTTTATTTTGGCTTATGGTTCTAGACAACTAGCTGTCCATGGTGGTAGGAAAGCCAAGGCGGCCATTGGCAGCAGGAAGCTGAGAGACCACATCTCTGCTGCACACACAGGAAGCAGAGTGAACTGGAAGTGGTGCTGGATTATAAACTCTCAAAGCCCAACCCCAGTGACATACTTCCTCCAGCAAGGCTTCATAGCCTAAGCTTTCTATAGCAGTTCTGCCAGCTGGGGACCACACATCCAAATACATGAGCTCATGGTGGGGGGCTGGGGGACTTCCTATTCAAGATCCTATACGGAGGTGTCTCTTGAGTGCTTTGAGACCCATGTTAGATAATGTTACTGAACAAGATGCCAAGAGTCCAATATTTCAAGTCGCATTGTTTAATTCGAGATAATAGTATTGCTTACAAATGAGAATAGGTCTTTTCATAAGAGTTCTGCTCCTAAAATGGCCTTTTAAGGTAAAAATGTGATTATACCTCTTTCCACCCCGGCAGAATTCTCCAGGGAAACCGGATTCGATCTATTACCAAAAAGGCCTTCACTGGTTTGGACACATTGGAACACCTGTGAGTAGCTGGAATTCAGTTCCCCTAAGGGTGGCCCAGGAGGAGTTTCTGTTTATAAAACAGTTGTGACAACATTCTCCCCATGCTGGAAAAGCCATTCATACATCTGCCTGTCATCTGTCATCTTGCTTTCTGTCTACCCTCAGTAATTTACCTGTGCACTTTCTTAGGATATAGTCTGGATGAGTGAGTGTGTGTGTGTGTGTGTGTGTGTGTGTGTGAATGTATGTATTTAGCACTTAACAAGAATACTGTTCAGTAGCTGCTGCTATTGTTTTTAAAAAGTTAACTAGAATCCCTGAAGATTCATGGGTTCTGTTTGTTTCCAAGTTAAAATGACTTGAGTTTTGAAGAACAAGAAGATATCCTGGAGAGTGCCATGGTGGAGATTTGAGGGTGGATCGCTGTATCTCGACAATCTCCGTTGCTGTAATTGCTTGATCTAAAATATACAGCTTAGCTTTCTGTTTCTCTCCCTGGTCCCCACTCATCAGTTGTGAACTGCCGGGGAAACAGGAGGTCAGGCTTCCTCTGGCTTCACAGAGATCCTAGATCCCCTTAGCCCCCACCCCCCACCCCCCATCCTATATCCCTTTAGCCCTTGATCACTCTAGTTATCGTCCCAGGTCCATGCTGGTCTCAGGAACCTTTGGCATACATTTTTGAAATGAGATTTCCAGGCAGAGGGTTCTCAGCTACTCAAAGAAGACACTTAATATTACGACAGCTGACCCAACTAACGATTAGTTTCCTGGTTGGATAGCCAAATCACAGTGTAGGTTAGAGCATGCTTGCTTTTTTAAGGAATGTTCGTAGCCAGCAGTTTTCCTATGTGTTAACTTGGACACATGTTATCATTTAAGTGAACATTTGGGTTGTGCCTCACCGGGACTGTATGTATTCGAGTGGAATCTGTCTGTTGGCAACCTGGTAGGCATCTCCCCACACTGTACCAGTCGTTCGGAGGGGGACATGGATTGCCAGCCCCACCTAGGACAGAGGGACGGTGGGAAATTGCAGAATGAGTCTGCAAAACTGAACGCCACAGCGTCAAGCCAGGATTGCTGTTATTGAAACAGATTGTTTTCAAAGGAAAACTAGCCAAAGGGTTTGTCAACTGGCCCGTTCCATTTCTGGGAAAGTGGAATTACTGGATCAGCAGAGTATTAACCTCTGCTCCAGTTTTCTTTAACCTTCCCTGACTCTTTCCCTATCCAAGTCTGGCACTTTTTGTCTTTGTCTTTGTTTTCTATTTCTACGTGTCTCATTCAAAATCCCCTTCGTATTGCTGTGGACCATGGGAGTCGGGGGAGGATTGTAACCATTGTGGCTAGTAGTTTAATTCAAACTGCTATAAAGTACCAGTTAAAAATAAAGCCAATACAAAATGTCCTCCCATATTATAGATGTCCTGCCTGAAACATTATTTGCTTTAATAAATACATCTCTCTGAACATTGCCGCCTGTGCAGCAGTGAGCTCCGTGTGACAGGATCAGGCTGGAGTCAAAACTAATGGACTCAAGAATCTCCTTCCACTTTCATGCTAAGCTGCGTAGTAAAGCCATCTTTAACTGGGTTGCTTTAGGGATACCAGCGATCATGTGCCCTAAATCACTCTACACAACAGTGTCACAGAAAGCGCGCTACCTACGATGTTTCCTAGGTTGTACGTTTAATTAATATCGGATTTGAATAATGAGAAAGTAATACAGCCGGCAGATCAGCCGCAGCCCTGAGGAGTGGATGCCCCCGGGAGGGTGACACGAATAACTTCTTCCCTGTAACAGGATCAGTCTCTGGGTGCTGTGATAGGAGCTTTGTGAGGGGCTTCTCTGAGTTTGTCCCATTTCCACAGTTCAGTGTGAAGGATTTGGTTGGTGAATTGGGATGGGTAGTAGGGTGTGGCCCAGGCCTTAAGGACACACCCTGGCCATAGTTCACTGACGGGTTTGATTTGTTGTTTTCCAGTGACCTGAGTGGCAATGCAATCATGTCTCTGCAAAGCAACGCGTTTTCCCAAATGAAGAAACTTCAGCAACTGTAAGTTTTCCTTTTTCCTGCCGGACAGGGACCCGTCACATGATGTGACATCTACAAAAAATGTCTAGCACATTCTTGACGTTATTAATGGTTATACCGGGAAACAAGGGGAGTGGGCCATTTTCCCCCCCTTGGTTGCAACTGGAATTTCTTTTTCTGTTTTGAATTTGCGGCTTAAATTTGTGAGACCATATATAGTATGGTTCCTAAATATAGTTCTCATTTTCCATTAGCTAGGGATTTCTGATGTATCGGTACTTATTCCTCAATCGGACAATAATAGCAAAGACTAGGGGCCCTGTTAGCTCAGTTTCTTGCATTTATGGTAGACTATAGGATATTAACAACATCACAAAGTCGGTTTTCAAATCCTCCACTTGGCTCATATTTATGTACGTTTGATTTGTGTTTAGAAATCTGCATTTCATACGAAACAAACCCGAATGTAATTCCTCTCCTCAGGCATTTAAACACTTCGAGCCTTTTGTGTGATTGCCAGCTAAAATGGCTCCCGCAGTGGGTGGCAGAGAACAACTTTCAGAGCTTCGTAAATGCCAGTTGTGCCCACCCTCAGCTGCTGAAAGGGAGAAGCATTTTTACCGTCAGCCCAGATGGCTTTGTGTGTGGTGAGTAAAACACCCCCTTGATTTGTTTTGTTATTAATTCTCTTTTATTTCCCGCTCCCTTTGTCCGAAGAGTGGTTTTGAAGAGATCTGCCTTCTCTTAAGCAGCTTTTCCCTTTCGGCTGAGGGAGATGAAGTGGGCCTATAGTCCTCTGCTTGTTAAAGTTTTACAGCTGTTGGTGGAGTTTTCGTGTTTGTTTTAGCATCAGCGTGGTTTGCTGGCAGGAAGGAAATCAGAGCTTGAAAGAGCTGAGAGCCAGCCCGGCCCTCCTTCACCTCATTCCCCAACCTTCCTGCTTGCACCCAGGCTGTGGAGACCCTTACTGAGTTTTGGTACCACTTCTGGAAACGGCATAGGCACCTTTGTGGTGATACTGCTTGAGGCTTGCTCTCCTGATACAAGAGACCGTTGGGAAAACTGTATTTCCCAGTAGTAGCTTTCAAAGATGGTCCCTGGACCTGCAATTGTCTCTGTGTTAGTGGCAATCATACCTGGGGGCTTTTGTGTGCTCTACCACTGAGCTATACCACCAGCTCCCCACCCATCACCCTTCTCTTTGTTTTCCAATTTTTGAGGTGGAGGGGTCTCCCTGAGTAGCCTTGACCTGTCTCTACAGTCCAGCCTTCTAAGTAGGTGGGGTCATAACTCTGAGTTACCTGTCAGTCCAGGCAACTTGAAAACTTATTAATTGCCATTTGCCCCCTTTTAAAAATCAGTATGTTGTCTTTTAAAGATATTCATAAATTCATGTAATTATAAATTATAAATTCATAAAATCACAAATTCATAAATTCATACACATATATGTGTAATTGTTCTTTCTCAGACCTTCCCCCACCCCTGAACCTCCTTCTCTCAGAATCCAGCTCCAAGTTTTGTGTCTTTATGGTGGCCCACTGTGTTTAACCGGTGTTGTCTGTGTGAGCATGGTTGGGTGAATTATTTACTTGTGAAAGGACCATGCAGTATAGCATGTGACTCCCCATCCCTCAGTAACCATTAACTGCCTGTAGCTCTCAAGGAGGGGGTGTAGGGCCACCAGTGAGATCCTCCAGCAAACAAGATAGAAATATTGATGTGCTAGTCTTGTGGTATTTTGGGGCAGTTTGCTTTCTGCTCTTTAACTCTGGTGTGTTTTAAGAGGCCTGTAGGAAAAAAAAAATATGTAGCTAAGGAATTGGGGCTGCTGAGACATTAACTGTTGATGGGTAAGGCATTAGGGCAAATGGCCAGTTTGAATTTGTTGTAAATAACTACAAGAGTCATTGTCTTAGCAGTCACAAGTCTCAGTATTTGAAATCCCCCAGAGTTCTTGTAGCTAGTTAGGAACAGAGCACGGTTTAAAACCATACAGTTTTCATCTCTGATTCAGCTTTCTGTTAGCTCCTCTTCCAGGGAAACCTTTACAAAAATAGATGTGTGTATAAAACATGAAATCTAAATTTGCTTAAATTTAAACACGTGTGAGAAGATGCTACAGACCCATGTTTTATACAGACATTTAAGCGTGACTAAACACTCCTTTGCCTATATATACATATAATAGTGTATATATACATGCATATATATTATGTTGTGTGTATATAATCATATATAGCACATATCACATATTAGTATATTTTGTATCATCATATAATATATTAATATATATTTTTAGGTTGCAGGATTTAATGGTGTCAGCAAGTTTTTGGAAATAAAACCTCTGATATAGGCTTTGCATGCAAGTAAGCTTTTGGCAATCATTCACAAGGGCCCACGTTATTCCTTCTTTAGACCTTTACCTCACAGTCTCCCAGTTTTCTGGCCTGGATATATGAACTCTATGTACTGTGAGACAAACCCATACACACTGCCCATAGTGCTTGTCCTTTTCTTTCCTTCTCCATTGTGAATCAGAACACTGATGTATGGGATGGAAACCCACACCGAAGAAACTGTCCTATTTAACAACCCACAGGCATAGGGTAGAAAGCCGGCAGCCAGGCCATGGTCAGAGCGCCACTCTGCTCCTGGCCCTGAAAGCTTGTGTTTTCTGATTAGCCAAAAGTCCGTGTTGGGAGATCTGGTAGTTTGCTTCAGGGTTTATGTAGACCATCTCTGAGAAACTGAAGTTCAAAAAAAGGTAACTCTTCCAAAAAGTAACAGGGAACTAAAAATAACTGTGTAGAATGAGAGTCGCCTGGCTCTAATTACAATGTAGCCCTGACAGGCTGTGCGGCAGTGTGATTGATGGACTGACAGGCTTCTGGCTGGAGCAGAGTGCCAGCCTGCACGTGCTTTCCCGTTTGTCCTATTTATTTTGGACTTTTTTTGTTTGTTTGTTTGTTTGTTTGTTTGCTTGCTTTTTGTTCATTCATTGCTGTCTTTTCTGAATTTGTTTATGCATGTGTGTGTCTGTCTGTTGGTGCACTGTGTCTGTGCAGGTGCCTGTAGGGCCAGAAGAGGAATTAGAACCCCAGGAGCTGGAGTTATAGACAGAAGGTGCTGAGAACCAAACCCAGGTCCTCTGCAGGCACAGCCAGTTACCATCTTTATACGGGTTAGGATTATTTACCATTGCTGTCTGCTTGCCTATGTTTTACTTTATGTTTCTGATGGCAAGCTTGCCAAAAGGTTGCAGTAGTTGAGAATGACATTCAAAGACCATCTGTGAGCCTGGAGGTGTTTAAGCTGCTTTTCTGTCTTCCTTAAAAAAAATATTCTTGCTGGGTAGTAGTGGTATACACCTTTAACCTCAGCCCTCTAGAGTCAAGGCAGGCTGAGCTATGTGAATTTGAGGCCAGCTTGGTCTGACAACCAGAGCTGCATAGTGAGATCCTGTCTTAAAAACAAACAAACAACCCCATACCAAACCAAAACAAAAATATGTACGTGTGCGTGTGTGTGTGTGTGCACATGCGCATTGTATATATACATTATATATAATATATATGATATATGTATGTAATGTGTATATGTAACATGTTTTAATGTATACTACATATATAATATATATGTATGTATATGTGTGTGTACATATATAAGATGTATATAATAATATATATATTATATAAAACTTATACTGTAACATACATAACCAAAGATAAGATTATATACATACATATATGTATGTATTTACATATATGTGTACATACATGTAAATATGTACACACATGTATATATTTATACATATATCCGTACATGTATGTATATATGTATTCTTATGTTTAATGGTAATTATACATGTGCATGGGATACATTGTGACAGTTCAGTACAAGAAGATGTGCTGCAAGATCAGACTATTGGTGGATCCATCACCACAAATTTAAATCATTTCCTTGGGCTGGGAGTATTGCATATCCCCTCCACAGGCTCCTGAAATCATCAGGTCATTGCTGTCAGGCGTTGGTACCCACTACCTCACTCATTTAAATGGGGTTTAGGTTCCTCACGACTTCTTACCAGTTACTCCTGTGCTTACACAGAACACCAGATACATAACATAAACCTTTATGATCATTTCAGGGTAACGCTTTTCTCATGTAAATAATGATGGAAACTTTGTCCCCATTGGACTGTTTACAAATGCACATTCTCCTGGTTGTTGCTTATCCCTGGGTCAGCTTCTATGTCTGTAAAACTCAGGCAGGGGATCAACTGTAGCTGCCCTAGACTCTTTCCCGGTGTTGGCGTCTGAGCGCCGGTGCACTCTCGGGACCTCACGTCATTTGTTTCCTCCTTTCCGTTTTAAACAGATGATTTTCCCAAACCCCAGATCACAGTCCAGCCGGAAACGCAGTCGGCAATAAAGGGCTCCGACGTGAGTTTTACCTGCTCGGCTGCTAGCAGCAGCGACTCCCCTATGACGTTCGCTTGGAAGAAGGACAACGAGGCACTTCAGGACGCTGAAATGGAGAACTATGCGCACCTCCGGGCCCAGGGAGGAGAGCTGATGGAGTACACCACCATCCTGAGGCTGCGCAATGTGGAATTCACCAGCGAGGGGAAGTACCAGTGTGTCATCTCCAACCACTTCGGTTCGTCGTACTCCATGAAAGCCAAGCTCACCATCAGCAGTGAGTAGCCGGCTCTCCGCCCCCGTTTGGAGACAGCAATAGTGCCTGACCTCTCTCCACTCTCCCCCCTCCTCCAAACCCTCACTTTTCTTTCTCATGGTTTCCCACCCAGCTCCTTCCCCCACCTCTCGATAGACAGAGTCACTGTTGGTGATTATTTATATCTCACTAAATGTGGCAGGTTGAACCAGGATTAAAATGAACCAGACACTTTTCTCTCTCTGGGACACTGTGATGTGAAGGGCCACAGAGTACATTCTTAAAGCATATGGCCTTTAACTGAGCTCTGGATGTGAATCCTGCCACTCCTGGTAGATAGTTATGTGACTCTCAGCAGCTGACTTACCCTCTTGCCCGTATCTTTTGACTTAGAGACGGGACTGGAGGGATGGCTCAGTGGTTAAGAGCACTGGCTGTTCTTCCAAAGAAGCTGTGTTCAATTCCTGTGCCCCACAGAGCAGCTTACAACTGTCTGTGACACTGGTTCCAGAGGATCTGACACCCTCACACAGACAGATGTGCAGGCAAATACACAATGCACCTTAAAAAAAAATGCAGACACTAAGTGTCACTTCACAGAAATGTCATGATTCGTAGATAACATGTGTGTCTGGGGCTTGGTGGAGTGCCTTGGTATTTGGGTAGTGCTCAGTGAGGCATTTATAGCAGCCACCGTTAGTAAGCAGTAGTCCTGTAGCATTGTTTGCACTGCAGGCATACAATCCTATAATTCTAAGATTGTATTTTGGATACTCCCTACCTTATCACTTTAACCGTTGGTGTCTGCCTGGTAGAAGATTTAGGAGATGATTCATTACTGAATTCATTCAGCAGCCAATTGCCAAGGTCTGGCACCTAGGAGAAGGCAGAGAGTAGAATAGGATAAAGGCACAAAATGTTAGGTCCTGCAGGACTGGAAAGAAACAGATGACGTGAATGTTCACAGTACAGAGAGACGTATCGATTTGCCCGAGATCTCACACTTAATTATTGAGAAAACTCAAATGTGGCCAGAGAATGTCAGGAGGCTCTTCATCTGAGGATCTTGTGACCCTGTGTCATCCTGACTCCATCACACCCGTGCCTGTGTAAATTTCATTTCTACAGCTGTCTTTGAGTTAGAAAGAACCCTTTCTTACCGGAGCCAGCCATCTCTGTGAACACCTGGGAGGAGGAGTGGTGTCACACCCGCACTACCTTTGGGATTGAGCACCTGGGAAGAGGACCTACCTCATGTATACATTGCGTTTGTGATTTCAGTGTTGCCTTCCTTTACCAAGACCCCCATGGACCTCACCATCCGTGCTGGGGCCATGGCCCGCCTGGAGTGTGCTGCTGTGGGACACCCGGCCCCACAGATAGCCTGGCAGAAGGATGGAGGCACAGACTTCCCTGCTGCCCGGGAGAGACGTATGCATGTGATGCCTGAGGATGATGTCTTCTTCATAGTGGACGTGAAGATCGAGGACATCGGGGTATACAGCTGCACAGCTCAAAACAGCGCCGGGAGCGTCTCTGCAAATGCAACCCTGACTGTGCTAGGTGAGGTGGTTTCTTAAGACTTCAAGACTATCTTAAATGCCCCAACTCACCCAGAGACCTTCCAAGCTAGAAGCTGCTGGGGGATGTGCAGGGGGTGGGGGTGAAGAGCCAGAGCTCTGCCTTCAAAAACCAGCGTCTGTGTAGCTCTGAATCCAGGGACATATATATACACATTCATGTCTGTTGCCAGAGAGATGAATCTGCCCCCTTGACTCCAAGTACAATCTCTAGGCTTACCCTTTTGCCCAGGGATTATTCACAACCGTCGGTCATCTCAGTGTTATAAAGAATATGTGAGAAAGCTTCTGTAGCCAGATTGGGAAGACCTGTTCTCTCTGTTCCTCCTCGCGAGTTGTTGTGTAAAAGTTCCAGTCCTTACCTTATCTCGCCTGTATGTCAGATGGGGAAAACGTTTATGATGCATGTGTCTTTGGGTGAGATGCAATAACCCACCGAGATGCCAGATGCCGGGTAATAGAAGCAGGTCAAGATTTTCATACAGACCTGCATGAGAAACTTAATTTTAAAAGAATTAAGTGCGGGGCTGGAGAGATGGCTCCATAGTTAAGAGTGTGTACTGTTTCAGACCACTTGAGTTTGGTCCCAGCACCCATACTGGACAGTTCTCAGTTGCCTTTAACTCCAGATCCAGGGAACCTGTCACCTCTGGCCTCCACAGGCATATCTATCTATCTCTGTCTCTGTCTCTGTCTCTGTCTCTGTCTCTGTCTCTCTCTCTCTCCACACACACATACACACACATAATTAAAAGTAATGAAGGGAAATCTCTACAAATGTCTGAGACGCATTATTTGCACACATTCCCTAGATTTTAAAAATTTGCTAACCTCGGCACAACCGAGGGAGGTCAAGATAAAAATTAGTCGATTTGCCCCTTACCTGGTGGGAAGAGTGACACGACTCAAGGTTGCTTTATTTGGTGTCCATTTAATACACTTGTCCATCGAGCTGTAGGAGCAAACAATTTAAATAAGTTCACCTGCTAGATCTTATGTGGAACCCGGTTTTCATTTAGAAAACTAAAACCTTGTGCTTTCAGAGACACCGTCATTTTTGCGGCCCCTGTTAGACAGAACTGTCACCAAGGGAGAAACGGCGGTCCTGCAGTGCATCGCTGGAGGAAGCCCGCCCCCTCGGCTGAACTGGACAAAAGATGACAGCCCTTTGGTGGTGACGGAGAGGCACTTTTTCGCAGCAGGCAACCAGCTGCTGATCATCGTGGACTCAGATGTCAGTGACGCTGGGAAATACACCTGTGAGATGTCCAATACCCTTGGCACCGAGAGAGGCAACATTCGTCTCAGTGTGATCCCGACTCCGACCTGTGGCTCCCCTCACATGACTGCTCCTTCGCTGGATGGTGACGGATGGGCCACCGTGGGCGTGGTGATCATAGCCGTGGTTTGCTGTGTGGTGGGCACGTCCCTCGTGTGGGTGGTCATCATATACCACACACGGCGGAAGAACGAAGACTGCAGCATTACCAACACAGGTGTGTAAACATGAGCACGGCCTAGAATGTGAGAGCCGTGCGTGTCTGTGGTTTCACAGACGTTCTGCCTCTGAGTCTGAGTCTGTCTCAGGAGGCGACTCATTCATTCGCTGCAAGCTGTGGGGATGTGGTCAGCTAAAAAACGATACCAGTCTGAAAGAATTCATTGCACAAAGGTGAATCCTTTTTATTAAAACCTCATCAGGGTATCCTGGTGGCTGAGACAGAAAATCCAAACAGAGTGAAATAGCCTTTCTCCAGGATGGACTTAGGGAGGCAGGAGCTAACTGGGAGTCGGCTCACTCTCCAGCAATCCTGCTTCATGATCTGTGGGCACATGTGCACACACAGCATTTTGTGTGTTATAAGAATGGACTGCTGTTGATGAAGCAGAGTGGTCAAGGGCCTGGAGTCATGGTTTTGGGTCATTTCCTATTTAACATGTAGTTTTGAAAATTGGGCAGGGGTTTATTTCCTGGGCAATGAAGTAAAAATTAACTAGGGTCACAGAGCTGAAAAGCCATCACATGCCATTTGTGGAATAGATCTTCCTTCCCTGACGGATGTTATAGAAACCAGTACAGTCTGTATTGATGGTGAGGCACGGCTATTAATGGAATGCTGTTGTTTGTTTACAGATGAGACCAACTTGCCAGCCGATATCCCCAGTTATTTATCATCTCAGGGAACATTAGCTGACAGACAGGATGGGTACATCTCCTCAGAAAGCGGAAGTCACCACCAGTTCGTTACCTCTTCAGGAGGCGGATTTTTCTTACCCCAACATGATGGTGCTGGTGAGTGTCTAAGATGTTCATGGACTGTTTTGAGGTCACAGAGAGGGTCCTGGATGGAACAGTAATTGTCAGAAGAAATTGTTAACAGAGATGAGGGCCTGGCCCAAGGTTACAAGCAAAGCTACCATCCCCCCCACCCCATCTGCTTTTTGAGGATGGATATAAAAGTTGTATTAAAGACTGGATTCTGTGGACTGACACACAGCGGGTGAATTCTCAGGGAAAGAGGATCCACCTGTTCTGCGTAGGACTAAGGTCCTTTGATAGTTGCTCAGAGAATACATCTAAACAAAAAAGCAAAAGACCAACCCGAGTAAAAAAGCGGAACAAAGAAACTGAAGGAAATAGAAAATGGAAAGACCTCCCGTGCTCAGGGACTGGAAAAATTAGTGTTGAAGCAAATGGCTGTGCGATCAGGAGAAATCTACAGATTCATGGCAATCGCCACAAAATTCCAGCGCCTACGGCCTGGAGAGATGGCTCAGCTGTTAAGAGCACTGACTGCTCCTCCAAAGGACTTTGTTTTGCTTCCCAGTGGCTCAGAACTGCCTGTAATTTCAGCTCCAGGGGGATCTGCTCTTTTATGTTTACACACACACACACACACACACACACACACACACACACTATCCTAATTCTTAAAAAGCACCTCTTTTTTTTTTTGATGGTAAAGAAGATAGACAAATTGGTCAAATTTAGTTTCTCTGAGGACCGTCCTATTTCTTTTACATTGTGAGTGTTCTTTGCCACTGAATGTCCTCAGTTGACATCTCCTGCGTAGTGTCCGAGGCTTAAAAGAAAAGCAGAAAGCCGATGACACCCCTACTGTAGGTGCCTTATGCGTCTGAGCCTAACAACGGAGGAAGCATGAAGTAGGAGCATTCCCCAGCCAGACCCATTCACTCCTTCCATCCACAGGGCATTGCAACACTGCCCAGAGATGTGGTTTAAAGGAACATACACAGGCTTGGCACATGCCACAGACTCTGCTTTGTCAAACTGCTGCTGGCTCTTCTCAGCATTTTATGTGTAGCACAAAACCCATATTGAGTATTTGTATTTGATCTATATTGGACTGTATGATTGGGAAGAAAGCATGCTTGCTTTTAGCTTCTGAGTTAGTCATTGGTGAGACAAATGCTTATGGTGGGGGCTGGGGAGAGGACAGACCAACTATGAAGAAGTGCTTGGCAAGACAGTAAGAGCAAATACAGTGACAGGATCCATGCATGAAGTGAGTGTGAAGACTGGCAAAGAGCAGCGACCCAGCCTCAGTCAGGTATAATGAAGCTAATTGAAAACATATGAATAACACCAGTTCTGGGACAGACAGGGGTATAAAAGCAGCCCAGAACAGCTCCAGGGCCTCCAAACCTTGTCGAGCCACAGTGTGCTTCTCTCTCGGACCACAGAACATCCATCCTCTGTTGCCATAGCAACTCCAATAAGATCCTCTCCGTGGTCCTCCTCCTAGTCCTCCCACTACTGGTGACTGTTGTTTCATTCCAGGCTGCTTAATTGAACTACCCTGAGATGGTTTGGCTAAGAGGTAACTAGCCAAATGTCAACCCCTGGTTCTAGTCAACTGTGACATTTTACAGGAAAGCAGTAGTCCTGAGAATCCGAACCATGGCTGTAGACACAGATCCATTTGCCTAAAAACCCGAGTGAGTCTAGCCGCAAGGTTGACACACCTAGCTCAAAGGGCAATCTGTCCCCTCTCCAGATGCCCTGAATTGGTGAATCCTAACTTGAAATATTTACAGTTCTGAACCAAGGATAGCTCCAGCAGGCCGTTATAAGCCCTGATGCACAGGCCTCAGGAAATCTGAACAATTCCTGTGTGCATGTTCTTTTTCCTTCTTACCATGTTCTAGCCCAGTTTTCTTCTATAAATACGGAAAGTGCAGACTCAGAGAGAGAGTGTGGAATACAGCTGGTTCACTGACTTAGGGTTGTGTTTTAAAGGGACCTGCCATTTTGACGACAGCAGTGAAGTTGATGTGGAAACCGCCCCTGATCCGTTCCTCTGCCCATTCGTGGGCTCCGCAGGCCCTGTGTATCTGAAGGGGAATCTATATGGCCCCGATCCATTTGAAGTTTATCTTCCAGGTATGGTTTTCTTACTGAAATACAGTTTTGTTTCCTGGGAAAGACTTCTCAGCATGCTAACTCTGTCTCTTTTTGTTGTGGAACCCTACTTGAGAAGGTTGCAGTTCTGACCCGAGGATGGCTTTAATGGACCACTGTGAATCCAGCTACACGAAGAAGGACTGCTTCTCATGTGCTCATCCCTCAGAGGAACCCTGTGAACGGACCCTCAAGAGCATCCCGTGGCCACATTCCAGAAAGCTCATGAACTCCACGTACTCTCAGAACGAGGGATATTCAATTCAGACTCTGTGTCTAAACAAGTCCTCCGTGGATTTCAATACAAGTCTGGAACCAGGATCGGTTACTTCAAGTAACTCTTTCATGGGTATGTTTGTCAAGCTGGGAATCCCCTTACTTCTCTGACTTACACTCAAAAGCGTTGGACAATAGTTTCATTCCCAATCTCACTGTGAGATCCTGTGAGTTCTAAATCCTCTGAGTTTTCTGAAATATGCTTGGGTGGGAATTGCTTGTGGGTTATGTATTTCATCTGTACCTAAGCCCAGGAGCTTTCTGGATCATGCTGTGTGAGGCGGGTAGGAGACAGGAGTTTGGAGAATGACTTAGTGAGCTTGTCAGCCATGTGGAAAAAGTGGTTTTGGGTCCCGGCAGCCTGAGGGGTGGAGCTGTATACTCTGCATGGTTGTGGTTTCATATGTCTCGTGGCTTCTGACTGAACTCACAGTGGAGGCCGGGGAAAGCGACATCCTACCTAGCCTAGCTTCAGACAAGCAAGACGACCTTCAGCCAAGGCACAAGCCAGCGCATTCAGACAGCAGCTAGCACCGTGGTAGAGTGTGAATTTTTTTGGTCTCATGTGTGGGAACCCGTTGGAGGGAAGAACAGAGAGAGGATGCCCTTTTTATGGAGTGAAGCAGTCAGGAAAAAAAAAACAAGCCTCAACCTGCCGTGGTGTGTTTTTGTGTTCTCGGTTTGTTTGTTTTTTTAAAGGAGAGTTCCAAACCATTCTACTTGAGTGTTTAAGAAATTTTACTCTTTGTCCCAATATGATTACTTATATACCTCCCTGAAGGAAAAAAAAATGAAGTTTGTTTTATAGAACTAGGGAAGGAATTTTAGTTAATTGGGTGATGGTTTTGCTGCAGTTGAAGAAAGGGCAGGACCAGAGTCTTGAAAGAATGCCCGCTCTATTCTGGCAGAACCGCTTCCCTACTGTGGGGTCCTCCTTCGTGGAGAATCATGGGCTCACAAATTCTCAAACAGAGGCTCCGGGGGCATTTTTCCATCGATAGATTTCAGGAACTTCATTGTTCGGTGATTAATGTTACTAAAAGGTCGTGAGAAAAGATTAGTAGGGAAGCATTTATTTGATGGTTTTATATAAGCCGGTGTGCAGCTGTTCTGTGCTGGATTCTGAAAATAGCCCGTTCACAGGGAGAACCTAATACCTAAACAGGACTCACGGAGAAGCTTATCGTGTTAACAGAAACACTCTTGTCCCTTTCGAGGTTCCTGTACGTGCTAGCAGAGGACCCATGCACTTATGGGGTGTCTTTTTTTTCAGGAACTTTCGGAAAACCTCTGAGGAGACCGCATCTGGATGCCTTTTCAAGCTTCGCACAACCACCGGACTGTCAGCCAAGGCCCTGTCACGGGAAATCACTTTCCTCTCCAGAGTTGGACTCTGAGTCAGAAGAAGATGAAAAAGAAAGGACAGATTTTCAGGAAGAAAATCACAGGTGTACTTATCAACAGATATTCCACACTTACAGGACTCCAGACCACCAGCCTTGTGATTCAGACACATAGACTGGAAGGGACCAAGGAAAAGCTTCCACTTACTACCTCAGCCGGGTTTCTATTTAAAAGAGACAAAATCCTATGTTTTTAAACAGACTTACAAAGTTTAAAAAGGAAAAAAAAAGATGCTTTATTTATATAGATGAACCAGAATTACAAAACATAAAAATTTTATACCTGGGAAATAACTTTCATATAAAAAAATATGTCTTTAAAAGTATTTTATAACTTTGTTTTATATGAAAATATCGTATGTAAATTAATGGTATGAAACCCATGCCTATTTTATGTATTTTTTATAAAGCCAGATTTCTTTTTATTGAGCATGAGGACTGAAGCCTTTTCAATAATCCCGTCTTAACACGCTTTTCTGAGTAGCGGTCACTGGCTCCCTGCTATTCTGCATATTGCGTTAATAAAATGTGCCATTTGGTGCCACGCCCCATCTATACCATAATAGTTTCCAATGCATTTTAGATGTAATTCATTCAAATTATCACATCTCAAATGGATTAAAGATATATTTAGCATAGTAAAGTACAATATCAAAGGACAGCCAAACAGCCCATTCCACCGGCCTCCCAGGATTGCTGTGTTAAGAGACAGACTGATATCCGTGGTCCACAGTCAAGCACACTGCATGAGAAGGAGTCACTCACAGCCATTAGAGGCGTATTTCTAACCTCACAAACAGAAAGATCTGCTGCTGCAGTCTGGCCACCACTGTAGCTTAGGTGATTCCACACTCTGTGTTTCCTTAATGAAGCTTATGCTTTGTGGGCCGGTACCTAATGTCTATTCCAGGAGCTTCTCATCCATCATGGCTTGTGTTATAACTAGGGGGTTCTTTGTTCCACGTCTCTGAAGTGGGAAAAGATACAGTGAAGGTCCAAATTTCATCCACAGTTGCTAAGGGATGTTATCCCACTATGCTGAGCTTACTGGTGCACACATAGCAACTTGGTTACTGGTCTTCAAGAGGGGTGGTGGCTGCACACATAGCAGGGTGGCTGGAGTGTGCACAGGGCTTTGAAGGTATTCTGAAGTAATTTCTTTTCAATGAATGTATTTTCTTAACTTTGCCATTTCAGTTCTACTTGGTTGGAATTTAAGGTACTGAACGTGTTACTCCAATACCTACAGCTATTTAAGGTGTTTGTTTTAAATGGTATCAGGGACAGTGTTACATGTCAAGCTCATGCACACAAGAATGAGAAGATTGTCAACACTATAATATGGCTATAAGCAAGAGGATAGATAAACTTACTGCATTGGAAGACTCTTGTGATAAAACTGGACATATGTTCTTGGGAAACACTGGTTTGTATGTGCCGTTTAAAGAAAACATTCCGGCCTAAGATAAATTGTCATGATGAGTTAGTGTAGCAAACTATATTTTTTTTAAAAAAAATCAGAAAACAAAACTTGAAGGTGTAGATTTCAGCCATTTGCAGCTTTTGGAAGTAAAAATGAAAACAGCCCATGGAAAAGCAGAATCTTCTGAGAAGACGTACTGGAGGTAAGGTTTCCCTGTGCTGTGTCCATCTCTATTGAGAGCCAGGAGCCCTAACTGGAGTCTAAGACAGGAAGTGTATCCCTCCAGTGACTAGGAAAAGGGATTTCCCATGCTTTGGCTTTATTAGACTGTCAGACTTGAAATCTTACTGTGAATTCATCTGCATTGTTACCCAAAGTACTGCAAATGCAGACTTCTTAATTAAAAACATCTTTTAAAGGAATTATTTTTTTTCTAACTTCAGTACAAAAGTTTAAATCAGCACCTTAAGCTGAAACACTAGATTCCAGGGCTGGAAAGACAGCTCAGCAGGAAAGAACCCTTGCTGTTAGCACAGAGGGCCAGAGTTCAGTTCCCAACACCCATATATCGGCTCACAGTGGTCTAACTCCAGGCACAGAGAGTTCTGACAACCTCTGTTGGGGATTACAGGCACCAGATGCACACATGATGCACAGACATGCTTGTTGACAAACTCACATAAATTAAAAATAAATCTCTTAACAAAAGGAAACACTGGACTCATCAACATGATTTTACCATGCTGGGTGCCCAAAGTTGTGCATCAGATGTAAATCATATCTGTCTATAAAAAGTACAGACATTTAACTTCTTTGACATCAGCCAGAAGGGTATTGTTATGCTTTTTATATGCTCAGCCAAAGGAGTGGCACTATTAGGAGGTGTGGCCTTGTTGGAGTAGGTGTGTCACTGTGGGACGGGCTTTAAGACCCTCATTCTAGCTGCCTGGAAGCCAGTATTCTGGTAGCAGCCTTCAGATGTAGAACTCTCAGCTCTTCCTGCACCATGTCCACCTGGATGTTGCCATCTTCCTGCCTTGATGATAATGGACTGAACCTCTGAACTTGTAAGCCAGCCCCAGTTAAATGTTGTCCTTTTAAGAGTTGCCCTGTCATAGTGTCTGTTCACGGCAGTAAAACCCTAACTAAGACAAGTATACCCTGTTTTGATGCTTCATATCGAATGAACAACTAATACGTAGGCATTAAATCCTTATAAAACAACATAAAGGAACAGGCAAACATCAATACAAGTTAAATTGCTTGTTTTGCTCACTTTATTTTTGTAATGTTGGGGATCGAACCCAGGCCTTAAACCAATGTGTTAACACCGAGCTACATTCTGACCTAAGATTCAGTTTATTTCTAAATAAGATACTTAACTTTCAGCATAGCTTTCTTGTTTTCTGATAGAAAATCCTCACCTCATACCAACATATCTCAAGAGATATTCATAGAATTGTGATATTTTTCTTCATTCCACTGTTGACACTAGAGACATTTATTAGGTCTAATCCTGACTTGTTTAAGATCTTGGAATCACCGTTAGTGTAATGAACATCCATGGTGTCATACGTGGCGTAAAAACATAAATCAGTTTTCCGTCTTTTCCAGCCCCTGCTCCCAGAACGACAACTCTGAGACTAATTATTTATTAATAGGTGCCTAAGCCACAAGTCAAATTTGGCTCATTCCCTGACTAGCTCATAATTTATGTAACCCATTCAGACTATCCTATGCCTTCCACATGGCTAAGTTACCTCTCCTTCAGTCCTGGCCGCGTCTTCCTTCCTGTTTCCTCTGCGTCTTTCCCAGCAAATCTCGCTGTGTCTCCTTTTAGCCTCACTATTTCCCAGAATCCTCTCTTCCTGCCACTGTCCCACCTTCTGCTTTCTGCCTCAGCTCATTGGCCATCGGCCTTTTTATTGACAGGCGATGTTTAGAAGCTAATCCCTCTACAATATGGTTTTCATTGCCTTCCTACAGGAGGACAGGACAAGTCGTTCCTCAGAGCCAGGTGGTCGGCACCTTTTGAATAGAGATAGAGAGGACGAAGCGGCTTGTTCTCCTAGTCGCTTGGTCTCCGTACTACGTTGGTAATGTGAGAGAAATAACACGTAGCCGGTGTTCCACGGATGTGCTGTGCTGTGTTTCAGAAGACTGAGAACGGAGGGTCCTTGCAGACTGCTCTCTCTGTCTTCTCTGACCATAGGATCTGAAATGACGACATTTGCGCAATAGGACAATTTGAAACATGGAGTTTTAAGATAGAATGCTATTAATACATTGAACGCATGCCTCATTCCTCCAAATCAAAATCAGTCTTCAAAGAGAGGCCCGTCCCTTCATGAACTAAATCATTTCAGTATTCCAGAAATATCTAGCTACCAGGGCTTCTCTTTCTTTGCAAGGCCTTCCTTAAGTCTGTAACACAAGAGTTTGACAACAGGCTCTGAGAGATTTCAATTGTGACTTAAAAGCAGTTGGTACAATCTTTTAATAGACTAGAGGGTTTGTACATGTGTATTTACAGAATTATCCCAACATCTAGAGACATTTGCCTTTTTATTTTTCTTTAAGAAATTCTATATTGGATAGAGACTCTTTTGATTAAAAAAAATATTTTGTTTTTACTTAGTTGATCAATCCATCCTTATTGTACAAAGTTCTGGTTCATTTTCTTTCCCGATCACTTGACTTAATGCTAAGGACCAGATTGCTTGGTCCTCAATTCTGTGTCGTATATTAGATACTCAGGGATGGAGAAAAGGTTAACTAATACTCATGAAGCTTTTTACTGCATCTACATTCTTAAAGCTCCTGAAGAATGAAAGCAATTCACAGCTGTTACAAGTCAGTGTAACAGGTTTTGTCTACAATTACAGTTATTTCCTCTGTTTCATATCTTCACTGGGCCTCATGAGTGGCTGTTTTATTTATTAGGCTTAAAGTCTTAGGTCCAGTTGGAAGACAACGGCAACTGTCATCACGAGGTTATCAAGGTTTTAATGGAGTTGGTTTGTTTACATTGATTGTTGTTTATCATGGTTTTGCAGATGGTTTTTTTGCTGTGTTTGTTGCTTGTTTGGTTTGCGGTGGGATTTTTGAGATGCAGAACTGAGAGAGCTTTTCCAGACTGCTACATCCCCAGGCCCGTTAGTGGTTTGTTCTTTCTACATGTGGCCTTTTTGGCCTGTCTCCAGTTCAGGGCTGAGTTTGGGCAGCTCATTGGTTTACTCCCGTGCCCAGCTTCCTTTATGTACAAAGCTGTGTATCTCTCCCAAGTTAGGTAAAAATGAGCAGAAGAGTCGGTGGACACTAAGAGTTTCTCAATTAGCTAACTATTAGGGCCGCACTGATTTCATATCTAAAACCTTTACATCCTCACCCAGTAACCTGGAAGTGTCCCATGAACTTTGAGCAGTGTGGCACCCTTGGCTGTTTTATCTGTGTTCTCCATTCACCTCGAAAAACAACCCTAGCCCTGGCTCTCCCTGTTTACCTGTCAGCTCTCACCGTTCCTGTTGAGAATTCTCAAGGTCTGCCCCGCCTCCCCTGGCATCCTAAGGCGCAGCTGGGAGTTCACACTCTTATCTGTCTCTTGCAGCAGAGACTCAGCAGGGCTCATTCCTTTCCATACACCGTGCACGGTGTTCACAATGACCAGAAATAGCTTTCCAAAGGAGATCGGAAGGGATCACGTCCCTGCTAAAATCCTCATGTAGCTAACTAAAATCCTAGTTATAGCATAACTAGGTGATCCATGCCCTCACCCCATCCCCACAGCACCCTCTCAGCCTTTCAACTCTGCAGTTCTTAGGAGCCTCAGAACACTGTGCCTGCCTACTCACTCACTACCTTTGTACAGGGTACCGTTTCATGTTTGTCTCAGGAAACACGCATTGAGTAGCTAGGAGCTGTCTTATATGCTATGACTGTAACATTTATTCCTTTTACATTTGTGTGTGTATGTGTGTATGTGTGTGTGTCGCATGTGTGCATGTGTGTATACTTGTCGAATGTGAGCATGTGTGCATGTGTGTATACTTGTGCACACAAGTGCGCATTCACATATGTGTGCCTCAGAATAGGAGTAGATATCATATACAACTTACAGTAGG